TTATAAACTAAGTGCAATATAGAAGAGAATTGCTGGGCCACCTCAAATCCCACTGATGGTCATGGGAGCTGGTGCAGAATTGGGTGTTCTGAGAACCCCGTGGCTTCAACTGCCACCAACATCAACTGCAGAGCCTGGATCTGCAGAAACCAGTTCCCTGAAATCCCTGCAAGGCTGGGGATGATCTGAGTGTACGAAGTGACACCCCACTGTCATCAGGAAATCAATCTACAGTGCTTTTGTCCCCACAACTGGTTTTTCAATTGAAAAATCACAGGTATCCAAATCAACACAAAGTGATCTTGATGGCAGAAAAGTCTTCTATTTTCAACAACTGCTCGGGATGAAAACAGGAATTGTCACTAAGAGGGAAAACATTAAGTGTACTGGCAGTGAATCAAAGAGAGCAGTTCCCACAGATCTCTAGTAGAAATTCTGGAGACAGAAACTTTGCAGAAACAAATTATATTTTGATTCTGGCATACCAGTGTTTCATTCAGTCCCTGACATTCAACTAACTAATTAGCAAACTGCTGCCTCTAAAGTCAGTAACATTTTGCCACATTATAAAACAATTACCCCAGTTGCTGTGACTATAAACTGGATGGGTTTTTTTACTGTAGTGTTTCAGAGGTACAGCTATAAATACCCTTCCTTTTGAAGCAGGTAGTAAACACAGAGGCACTGGAATTTAAAATCCCTGAAAGCTCATCTATTTTGTGAAATAGTATTCTAACTCTGAATTTTCTACGTGATTGGACAGGTTCTGTTCAGGATGTGGACTGTGACTAGATTAGGTAAACTGCAAGCAGTTTTCAGGAGAAGTAAATGCAATGCCAAATGGGAACCAGGGAGGAAAGAGTCATAGCAAAGCATCGAGTAGGCAAGGGATAAACTATTGCTGTGGAGAATCCTGCCTGCTACCTTCTCAAATGAGATTCACTAGCTACAATGGAGAGAAGATAAGATTGATACAGATAAAAACCTGTACTCTGTGGACTGCCAGAAGGCAATGCACAGAGCAGGCAGTGCAAGCAAAAACCTGAGCAGACCCAGATCACAGGACAGCTGGAAGGGACGGCAAGGTGGTTGTGGAATATCCCATACAACCAAAAACCTTTGGAAAAGGCTGTGTGGACAATCCCTCTGCAGCACAGTTCAGGAGTCCCAGTGGTTTTAGTAAAGGTCTCTGGGGTTTTTTTGAAGACAAAGAAACAGTGATGGTAATAAATGACCACAATGCTGCTGATGGATGCTAATGCCTCATAGTAAAAATTAGCAGGGGCCCTGACAACCACAGTGCAAAAAGCCCCTCTAGAACTAGAAGTCCCGTACAAAATCAGGATTCCCTTGAAGAAGAGATGAAGCTGATCATAAATTAGCCTGCAGTCAGGTCTCCTACCTTGTTTTGATATTGCACAACTCAACAAGTACAGTGGCTCATCCCCAATCCTCTTTAGTTTCTTGTATTTCAGTAGAAAACAGACATTAGTTGTTTAACACCAGACTTCCTCATGCAGACAGAAATGAAAAATTGCCAAGTGTTACTTCTACTGTGTCAATAACAAATTGAAGGAATCAGGATAAATGAACTTCTCTGTTTCTTATTAGCAAGTGGTGGCAGCTGTATCAGAACAGAACCAGGGGGTGGGCACAATTTCATCCTGCCCCCCCTCCATCCTTCATGAGTGTGATGACATAATTTGCTATGAGATCATGGTTTACTTATCAAACTAAAGGAAAATTACCATCATCACATACTGTGCAGTGAAAGAAGCCCTGTACTGTTAGTCCATTTATACAAACAGAAACCTCTTGCTTATATTTGTAAAATGTTGGCTATAAATTCTCTACTATTATTTAAGATACAATATTATTTTGCTTAAGAGTTAGTCAAGGAATATTCCTGTCTTTTGGGAATAATCTTTTTATTTTACGAGGTCAAGATCTAACTGTAATACAGAATGGGTGCTGAGTCAAGGGGTCCTTTTCACAGAGAATCCCAGAATGCTTTGGGTTGGAAGGGATATCAAAGATTGTCTTATTCCACCCCCTGCCATGGGCAGGGACACCTCCCACCAGCCCAGGTTGCTCCAAGCCCCGTCCAACCTGGCCTTGGGCACTTCCAGGGCTGGGGCAGCCACAGCTTCTCTGGGCAACCTGTGCCAGGGCCTGCCCACCCTTCACAGCCAGGAATTCCTTCCCAACATCCCATCCAAACCCTGCCCTCTGGCAGTGGGAAGCCATTCCGGATCCTGTCCCTCCATCCCTTGTCCCAAGTTCCTCTCCAGCTCTCCTGGAGCCCCTTTAGGCCCTGCAAGGGGCTCTCAGGTCTCCCGAGAGCCTTTTCTTGTCCAGTCTGAACCCCCCAGTGCTCCCAGCCTGGCTCCAGAGCAGAGGGGCTCCTTTTAAAGGCCCTAAAAGTAATTTTCCTAATAAAATGAAAACTACTACAACATAAAATATAGAAAAGGCCAATGCAGCCTCAAGCTAAGACCAAATGCTTGCTGATACTGTTCAGTGATAACAGGTACTTAAGCACTGCATTGACACAGAACAAGATATAGGTAGTATTTGTCTCCTCTGAGAAGCTAAAAGTGCATTTTATTGCACCTGTGAGAGCATGTTTCTGAGTACAGACCTACTAAAGTGCCTTTCAAAAGCTACAGTGTAATTGTCTAAACTCTGACAGTAACTTGACAAAACTCACTTTTCAGAATGAAGATTTATCAGAAAATAGGAGTTGTGCTGAGCTGAGGTTTCAAAAAATGTCCCACCCCATCCCTCCCAAAGCCAGCTAGGGGTAGGGACCACTGGGAAACACATTTATTGAGACCCTCTACTATGGCCACTTGTTTCTCTAGGTGTGATTGTACTTCCAATATTCCACCCATGTACACGTGGCTTTGAGACACCCCTAGAAACCCAACTGAATTATCCCAAGGGCAGTTGCAGGCAATACCAGGTAAGATCATAATTAAAACATGTTAATGGCATTTGCACAATTAGTATATGAGATTTAGTTTTAACATTTTTACACTTTTACACACTCAGGTGAAAGTATTTAATTCTCAACTACATCTACCAGATAGTGGATTTTTAAGTTGTCTCAAAATTATTTTTAAGTTCTGTTCTGAGCATAATGTTTTTATATTGATTATGCAGTTAGTTTGATTGTACTAGATATAAAAGTCTTGAGGACGCAGAACATAACTTGACATGTTCTGGAGAATCTTGGACAAAATGTGCCTTAAGTAACCACAGGAAAGGTAGAGCTGCACACTCAACATGAGAGAAGACAGTTTGCCCAGCACATTTCTCTATTATTTGAATTTTAAGCAAAGAGAAATCAAATTGGTCTAGTTAGGCATCTATAACAGCAGCCATTTGATGTCATATGAAAACCAATCAGTGGTTCCCAATTAATTCCTTCATCACTTTCCAGTCCTACTGCCCTAAGTGAGACTTGCAAATCAATGGTTCCAGACCCCCTGAGCACAGAGGCCACTGACATATCTGCTTGGGGCTTTTTGTGGCCTTCTCATAGCCTGAACTTCCTGTGTAAGGCTTCATCCTCACATCTTTTTACCTTTTCACCCACATGAAAGAAGTCAGGTTCCTCTTGGTAAGAGCAGAGATGTAAACGGGTCTAAATTATTTTCAGGTGTTAGTCCTGGATTAGGATCCAGCCTTATTATTTGATGCCAAAACTTCAGACTGGAAAAGTAAAACATCAAAACATGGCTGCGTGAACTAAGTCAGGGCACAGTGACAACACTTCTGGCTCAGTGCTGAGTGTGGATCTGTATTTTAAAAATGAGACCCAATTCTAGTAATTCTGAGTATCTGTGTATATTTTTTAACAGTGTGTCTCAAGGCAGATGGGAGGAACAAAAAGAATCAGAGCACTAATATTTGTATAACTGTTCAGAAATAAAATAAATCTGTTGCTGTAAAACATGAACACATATCCATAAAGGTAACAAGCTACTTTGGTTACACCTAAACCTCAGCCTCAACAAAATACATTTTCATGACTCTGGATTGACATGATTCAAGTCACGTCAATGAATTTTCAATCCTGGTCCCGACTTGGGAAGTGACAAAATATGCAATCCTTTAGGCAGCCCTGTCCTGCATGTCAATCTGGAGATGTATTTTATTACTCTCTAATCAAACTTTAGATTGCTTCCTCATGAAACATTTTTCTTTATAAAAAGAGGGTGGCTGTAGGTTCCACATACCCAGATTGCTACAGCAACCAAAGATTTGAAGTTGAAAAAGATTTCTGAACTCTGTACTTATGTTTGTATTTCACTCAGAACATCAGCTAGAAAATACAGACACTGTGATCTGTGCTGAGCAGGACTGACATTAATAAGGAATGCAGGGAAAGAGCTGAGCCTCCAACATACACCACTGGGATATTTTTCTTTATTATTTTAAATTAAATCTGTGATGATGAAATTATTTTTAAAAATGCCTTCTATTGTAGCCTTTATTTTTGATTAATTATTCCTTGTAACTACCAATTGTTCAAGGCTCACAAACAGAGCATTGAGATGTTTCCTTTTTATGAACGAAGTCCTGTCCAGCCTGAAAACAGGGATATCAGTTCAAGAAAATGCCCAGAAATGCAGGGGAAGATCAGGGCCTGCAAATGAAAACTGAGCTTAAAACAGGACAGCTTTGTTTACTTGACCAAATAGAGAAGGTCGCAGGACTGGCTTTTAAATCCAAGCTGGGAAGAAACTTACTACAATGAGATAAAATCTTTCTTCTGCTAAATCATAAAATCAGCTTCAGATCCTCGCACGAGCTGTTTTTGTACGGGCTTTTGGATTATTAATAGTTGTGCCGGCCCGCAGCCGGCCAAGGTAGGCTCGGGCTGTCACCAATGATGCGCTCGTTCTTACGGGAAGGCGGAGTTGGAGCCGGTGCCGGGGCCATAAATAGGGGTCCTATGGAAAGCCGCGGGCGGTCAGCGCGGGCCGATGCTCGCGGTGAGCATTAGAGGGCTGTGCTGAAGGCTGCGCGGCCGGGAGGCGAGCGGCAGGCCCGGGGCAGGGCAGCATGAGCCCCGCGCTGCTCCCCGCGCTGCTGCCGCTGCTGCTGCTGCTGCTGCCGGCGCGGCCCGGGCTGTGCTGCAGCTGCGCCCCCGCGCACCCCCAGCAGCTGCTCTGCGACTCCGCGCTGGGTGAGTCCGACCGGGGGGAGCGGCTCCGCGGGGAACGGGGGCCGCGAGCATCTCAGAGAGCCCGCTCTCCTAAAGAGAGGGACGCGGCACGATGTATGCCAGAAGCTGTTCCGCGCTTCTCCAGAGCGTTTCGTGCTTACAAATTGCTGAAACTGCTCTGCCATAGAGTGGCTTTTTCTGATTTCTAGCAGAGAAACGGCTTCTCTTTAGGTTCTAACTTAGAGTAAGCAGGGAGGAATACCTGGGCTTTCAAATGGCTACTCTTAGCTTAGCAGTATCTGTAATAGAATATTGTACCTAAAATATGCTTGCTACGTGTAAACTATGCATATAGACATTTCTATAGCACTTTTTTTTGGGGAGGGGACGACGACGACAAAACAAAACAAAAAGCCCCACAAAATTAAAGTCCCCAGTGCTAACGTGCCGAAACATTTGATATTTGTTTTGCTATACTACAATTTCTTTAATTTGTTCTTGGGGTTTTCTGGAATTTTCAAAAAATTCTTGAGCAGGAAAGTGATAGGACCTTTATTTTTTGCGGACAAACTGGCTACAGCAGCTCTGTATACATATAACTTCCCAGGCTTTGGGACAACTGTGCTTCACGATATTCAGTCAGCACTATGCTTGTCAAACAACTTATAGAAAGAGACTAAAGATCACAGAATTAAAGTCCATGGGGATGGGAAAATGTGACACTTTGCAGGCTTTTGATTTCATTAGCTCAAGGCTGGTTAACTTCCATCGGGTGTGAACAGTAAATGTAGAACATGAGTTTCCAAAGTGTCACAGAATTAGCATCTCTATGGGGCAGGCAATACCTTCTGCATACTGATTAATTGCTTTTATGCCCTGACAGAAAATCTTTGTGGCCACTACAAACTCTAAGCTCTGTTTGTGGCCATCAGTTAAATTGGTTTTTAATCTGCCCATGTTAAGCAATCTCTTTCATGAAGTTACCTACACCAGCCATGACACACTCGGGGCTGTTTAAGGAGTGAAAGGACATAGAAGCTGTGCTACCAGGAGCTCAGCTCTATGTGTGTACTGTATTAGTCTGCTGCATTCCTGTAAATAAGAAAGTGACTGTTTTTCAACAGACTTACTGTAGAGATTTTCCTAAATACACAATTTTACAGTATAGAGGAAACTCAATATAGATCATAAGGATGGCTTTCCCTAAGGAGGATTGTCCATATTGAATATTTTAAGATTTATCCCATTCTGAGATACATGTTACAAATGGCAGCTATATCATGCTACTTTTTTGCAATCTTTGATATTTGAATATAGATAAATAAAACTATGTTTGGGCTTGATGCTCAAGCTCTCACTTCTATAAATATTCCTATTTAAGTAAGCTGCACCTTTTGGCTAAGAAATGTTTATGTCAAGGATCCCTTTGTTCAATATTTGTAATTTTAAAATAGCATTTATATATACTACAAAACAATAGATGAAGGTAATTCCTCACATACATGTTTTTCTATATACATTTGCATATACATACACATAAACCCAGCTCTAAGCATTTATTAGATTTGCTTTGGCCACAATACTTTGCATAAGCTAAGCAAACTCCCTTTAAAGGAGTTGGAGAAGGCCAGTGGAGCTGCCTGCCCTGTGTGAGAGCAAACTCCCCGAAGCAGCTTGGCACAGACAGCTCCTCCTCAGTGCCAGTGCCAGCAGCTTTTGTGCTTCCCCCCAGGCTGTGGGCTGGGACTGCCCATGGGAAGGGGCAGCACGAGGCTGGAGCCCTGGACACGCAGTACATCCCCTGGGAATGAGTGCTGTGCCTCCACAGCTCTGCCTTAGGACCACATCTGTGCTCTTTGGGCCACCAGCATCCAAAGAGGGACTGTAAAACAGGAGCTCTGCCATGCAGACACATCATAGACCTCTCCTGGCAGCAGCACCACACTGACAGACTCAACATTTTCATACTTCCAAAATACTGATAAAGAAAGGGACAACCACTCTTCAGCTACCCAAGTCTAAGGGAGCTGAATGCTAACCCAGTGATATGCTGAGACTGTTCAATTCCTTTCACTTACTGAATTCACCTGCCTATGTACCCACAAACACAGGCAAATATTTCCCTGAAGAATAACCTCCTAGAATATCTTATTAAAACCAAATCTCCCCCACACTATGCCTCTACATTCCACAGTAAAAATGGAGACAAGTCTCAGATTTGCTCATGGAGCTACCAAGCAGTCCTACCCTGTCCAGTTACTGTGCTATTTCTCAGTTTCATTATATAACTCTACACATTTTTAATTTCCTTTAGGATGACTTGTCATTTGGGTGGAGTGAAAACAGAGGTGGAGGGGGTTGAATTGACAGACCTTACTTGAGCCATGAATTGAATGTGTGGAACCACTCATCAACCTCAGTGTTTATAGGAGAGACCCAAGGAAAAAAACAGGCAGAGAAATTAATGAAGTCCAGGACAAGCTCTTTCCCTTTTCCTTTTGTTCTTGTGATTAGTGCTGTGACACTTTTGTCTTCTACTGCTGGGAGGCTGTTGTGGCTTTACTCTCTACATGCCCACAGGTACCACCCGACTGAGTAACCTGGTAGCAATAACGGGCTTCCTGACAGACATGGGGTCAGGGAGAGCTCCTGGCCCTGCAGGGTGCTGCCTGAACCTGGAATAAGGGCTGAGTGAAGAGCCCTACAGGTGTTAGAGGGTTGTACACCATGGGAGGAACAGTAAATCAGGAGTGTTGTGCCAGTCGTGCCATTTATCTGCCCTTGGGTTTGCTCATCTGACCATGTAGCCTTGATAGGACGTGATTTTGTACAAATCTGAGCAGTTTCCATGAACTTCTCAGAAGTTTTAAATTTCTCTTCAGAGAGAGGTAACTCCTCATCCGTGGGAAGTGCTGAGCACCATGAAGTACACACCTTTTATTTAAAAAAGGAGATACAGTCTCCTGTTCCTTTAAATGGTGCTGAGGCCCTCTTGGAATGTGCTGGATGCCTTCAGACCCCAGCAAACACCTTTGCTTTCCAACAGGACTTTCACTGGGAATAGAGAGGGAGGTTTGTTAAACTTCCACTAATTGCACTGCTAATTGTCAGTGCTGACCCCTATGCCCAGGTTTTCTCCTCACAGAAATGCAATGTGGGCACGATATGCCGATTAATATTTCAAATAGTTCACTGTAGTGCCAAGCCAATACAACAAAATTCTTCTGATAATTGCTTTTTTTTGGAGCAAAACATGGATGCAATTGGGTTTGCCAGACAATGCCAAGATAACAGATTTCCCTTTTGCCACTGACTTTGTCTTCCTGGACTCAATTCTAAACCAGTGAGAACATCAAAACAGACAATCTGTAGAGAGAAATTGTATTTGTGGAGAGCACTGATACCTTTCTTAAGTCTGGTACTTCTAAGTCGTGATGATTTTCTCCCTTAGGCATAAGCAAGGTTAATTTTTTGACAGAAGGACAAATATGTAAACACTTTGCATTTCTTAGCTCTGTAACACCAGTTCCCAACCTTCAAAGTCAGATTTCTTATTTAAATTGTCTTATTGTTTTTTCTTAGACATATATTAAAAATTATACTTTAACTGAATATTGGGCACCACACTCCAACAGAAATGATCTGGAGTACCAATAAATACATAATATAGGTCCAGAGAATAGTTCTGTAGCTTTTGAGAAGAGTAGCCTGTTTCAAAATATGATGGAAACTTTACAGCTGGAGCTTGGCAGCATTTTCAGCCTGTTAAAATCTCCTAAGATCACTGAGATCAAGCATTGTAAAGATGTGCCAGATGATATATTAAATTTTAATCACATTTAAACATAACAGTAAAAATTTTCTTTAAATACACCAAAATTAAGTTTTCAAAGTCAGCTCCTCTGGGAGAAAATTACAACATACTATTTCTTTATTATTGAATCTCAAAACTTCCAGAGCTCAGTCTCCCACAATTTTGCCTCTCTGCAATACAATACCTAGTTTTGTGCTGGAGTTGATTAATTTGTACATCATTAGAGTGGGAAGTAACTTTGCCTGACGGGAAATATCAGCATTGGAAAATGTATTGGAAATGTGGATGGTACTTCTTCCAGGTTAGGGAGAAACGGGGAACAGTGAAATTAAAGCAGTTTTTATGTTTTACTTCTTTTGTGTTCTGTGCACTCCCCACACCCTCACTGTCACAGCAGTGGGACTGTGCAGTCTGGTTTATCAATGACAATAATGCGTTTCTAGAGTAACTTGCCACTGACAAAAGAATATGCATTTTCTTATTTCTCAGGGATCTCACACAGAAGTGGAAGATGAGTTTTTACTCCAAGAATTGTGAATTCAGTGACAGAAATACTGTACTGGCCTAGTGCTGTTCTAGTTCTACCTCAAAGAACAGGCACCTGAGCGTGGTTCTTGCAAGGATTATTATGAAAAAGGAGTGGTGAGACTGCATGAGTGCCATGGAAGGAGCATGCTGTCAGAGCTGTATCTTCAGAGCCTTAATTACATTAACCAATCAATCCTCTTAAAACAAGTTAGAAATTATATTACTCTCAAAACTAATGTTATTCATATTCAGTATGTTTAATGCACAGGGGCTGAAAATACCAAGTCTCAGCCTTATGTCCTCAACAAGGGGCTGAGGAAAGCAGAGTTCCACTCCTGAGTCCCACTAGTGCTCAGGAAACAGAGTTGGTAGGTATGAATCATAAACAGTCACTCTTCCCTATGCCCACTTTTTTTTTTTACATGACAAATATTGAGCTCATTAACAAAAATTATTGAGAAATAGACATTTCAACCCATTTTCATCTATTTTGGCTATCAAAATCAGTTACACAAGAGGACAGGTTTCTTTACTTCTCTAAATACAAAAGAAATACATATTAATTTTTATTATTTGTTTCTTATATATACTTTAATATAAATTAGTAGAATTTTCAAATAAAATTTAAAAAACCCTGGACAACATGAATCCTAATAAGTTACTTAATTTCAAGTAGTAA